TTCCTAGGTCCCTTCCAGCCCTAATGTCTATGAAATCTACTGTGGGTCCATGCACCGTTGGCCAGGCAGGCACTCCTGTGGGAAGCTGGCTAGGGACTTGGGGTGCAGGGAGGTGTTGGAGAAAGACACACATGCAGTCCCCGACCAACCAGCAGCACATGGACTCTGAGTGGTGCAGTATCAGCGTGAGCGGGTTCCACACCTCCATGTGCAGCTTCCCTGAAGGGCCAATAGTGTGCCACTCTGGGTCCATGCACTGCCAGGCAGGCAGGCAGGCAATCCTGCAGGAAGCTGGCTGGGGGCTGAGGGAGCGGGTAGGCATTGGGAAAAGCTGCACATGGAGTGCCTGCCCAGCTGGTGGCACATGAACCCAAAGTGGCGCGCTATCAGCCTGAGCAGTTTCCAGGCTTTCCTGTGTGGCTTCCCTGAAGGGCTGATACTGCGCCACTCCAGGTCCACGCACTGCCGGCCGGGCAGGCACTCCATGTCTTTCCCCAACACCTCCCTGGCTCCCTCAGTCCTCAGCCAGCTTCCCGCAGGAGCGCCCGCCTGGTTGGTGCTGTTTCGAACCAGAGCAGTGCACTATAGGCCCTTCAAGGAAGCCTTACATGGAGGCGTGGAACCCACTCAGTGTGATACCGTGCCACTCACAGTCCACATGCCACTGGGTAAGCAGGCATTCCATGCCCTTCCTTAACACCTCCCCGCTCCCTCAGCCCCCAGCCAGCTTCCCCTCCAGCCCCTTGCAAGCCCCACTTACCTCACAGGCTCCAGGAAGGAAAGCGAGCCTGAGCCAAGCCTTGGGTGAGTGAGAGCCTCAGGGCCTGCCCTTCCCCGCCTTCTTCCCTCCCCTCCCCCACCACTCCCCTCCCAGGCAGGGCTGGGAGTTTCCTGCCCTTTTTGCAATCAGCTCTTGCAGGCTGGATCTCTGCCTACCTGCTGAGCTCTTTGCAAAACTGGGAAATCCATGGATTTCTCTGCTAAAGGGTAAAATCCATTGTTTTTCTGATAAAATAGGGAAACCTGTGTTTTTCTGTTTTTCTGTGGGTAACAGAAAACCCGGTTCCCTGCTAATCAGTAACACTGGAAACAAATTGGGGATTAGAAGACTGAGATTTAGGAATCACTGGTTCTATTCCTGGTCCTGCCAGTGACCTAGCTAGTGACCATTAGCAAATCACACTTCCCCTTCTTTGTGCCTTATTTTCCCCATCTGTTAAAAACAGGTATAATGATACCAATCTCCCTTCTAAAGTGCTTTGAGATGTACTAATGAAAAACATTCCATCAGACAGGTATTAGTATTAATTAAAATCACTCTAGTTAAATCCATGTTTCTGATTCCTGTTTCATGCTAAAAAGAGATGGTTAAGACTGGAAACTAAGATGCTGACAGTTTCCCAAAAGTGACATTTTTAAAGCAGGCACAAAAATCCCCTCCCTCCTGCTCTTTTAGAAATATACAGAAATACTCACTCTTCTAATGTCATCTAGTGTGTTTATTTCTGGTGAAAGTCCACCATGAACACAGAGAAATTGTTGATTTAAAAGTGCAGCAAGAGGGAGGCAATCAAAAGCTTCCATACAAGCATCATAGACTCTTTCTGAATATTTTATTTTACCTATAGAGAAGAAAGAACAGAATATTACAATTATACCAACATAAGAAACTATTCTATTGGTTTATAAACCTAGAAAGTTCTCATGTGGCAAGCACCAAAAAAAGAAGAAAAAAAAGGAGACGTTAATTTCTTATGCTTAAATTAAAAATCAAAACAAATTTCTTTACAAAAATGTACACCTATATTTTCCAATCCTTTCACAACCCCAAGTATGGAAAAAGGTTATAGCGATCTTGTTTTAAACAAAATCAGAAAAGTGAAATCTAAAAGCAGAAATATACTTGATTATAAAGATTAATTAAGCATTAGTGATGACCCTGAGAAGCTTTTAATGACAGTATAAGGTCAAAGATGTGTGCACTAATTTTCCCCCAGGGTTTTGACCACACTTAACATGGTTTGCCTTGACAGCTTCATCATCAGAGGTACACCTGCAACCTTCTGCCTAGCAAAGGAGTAGCTTATACCAGCAACAGAATTTTTTTGCTGGTATAGCTGAAACCAGTTCCTCAAATGAGAAAAGCCACAGGTCAGCAGCCTTTTGCTGACACCAGCTGGAGCTTGCAACCCAGCTGTGGCTAAATGCTGGAAGCCTCTACCACCCCTCAACCACCACCCAACCCCTTTGAAAAAAGGGGAAGCACACAATAGATGGGAGTGCTGGAGAGGAGATGGAAAGTATTGTGTAGCTGTGTGCCACCAATCCCCTGTGATGGATCAGATCTCCATTGGCTGGATCAGATCTCTCTGTGCGCAGATCCAGCCTGTAGGCCATGGGTTGCCAATCCCTGGTATAAGCTATACTAGCAAGAGCAAAAACAGTCTAAAATAGGGCTTCTGCCAGCTTGCCTGTAACTGCTAGGGCATGATCATTTAATACCCCTAAGAGACACAGATATGCTAGCAAGACTTAAATGTTTTAAGGATAACTGTTTTAAACTTGAAATTAAAACCCAAAGGAAATTGTAGAGGATGTATGCATGTATAAACATAGACTAAAATGTATTTTATAAGGACCAGGACTACACACGCTTAACTTTCCACTATGTTTACAACTCTATGCATATCTAATTAAATTAGTAGGAGAGCCTTGTGGGGAGAGTGCTGGTCTAGGGACTTGGTGTAATGGGTTCAAATCCTACCATAAGTAGGTGCCCTAAATAAGCTGGTCTCTGGGGCAAGTTCTTTAGAGGCC